TATGAAGAAGCTCTTTAACATGAAGAGAAGGATAAATGATATATAGTCATGCAAGAGGAGATGAAATCCTTACATGAGAATCACACATTTAGGTTGGTGAAGTTGCCCCAAGGCAAGAGAGCACTAAAAAATAAGTGGATGTTCAAGTTGAAATCAGAGGATAATTGCTCACAACCAAGGTACAAGGCAAGGTTGGTTTTCAAAGGTTTCAGTCAGAAGAAAGGAGTTGATTTTGAAGAAATATTTTCACTCGTGGTCAAGATGTCTTCAATTAGAGTTGTGCTTGGCCTAGCAGCTAATTTAAACTTAGAGGTTGAACAACTTGATGTGAAGACCGCTTTCCTCCATGGTGACTTGGAGGAAGAAATTTATATGGAACAACCTAAAGGTTTTGTTGTTAAAGGAAAAGAGAAGCTTGTCTGCAAACTAAAGAATAGCTTGTATAGGCTCAAACAAGCTCCAAGGCAATGGTATAGGAAATTTAGTTCCTTCATGATGAATCATGGGTATGACAAAACCTCTTATGATCAGTCTGTTTGTGAATAAATTTTTGGATGGTAAATTTATTATTCTCTTGCTTTATATGGGTGACATGTTGATTGTTCGTCATGACATGAGAGAAATTCAAAATCTTAAAAGAGAGTTAAACAAGTCCTTTGTAATGAAGGATTTGGGTCCTGCAAGGAAAATTCTTGGCATGAAGATTATCCGTGATAGGAAGAATGGAAAATTGTGGTTATCACAACAAAAATACATTGAGAAGGTATTGAAGAGATTTAGTATGGACAATTCCAAGTCTGTTAGTATTCCACTTGCTGGTCACTTCAAATTAAGCTCTAAGCAATGTCTTACAAGTGAGAAAGAGAAAGAAGAAATGTAGAAGATTCCATATGCATCTATAGTTGGTAGCTTGATGTATGCAATGGTATGTACAAGACTAGATATTTCTCATGCTATTGGCTTAGTTAGTTGTTTTCTCTCTAATCCAGGTAAAGAACATTGGCAAGCTGTGAAGTGGATACTTAGGTATCTCAGAGGTACTTCTAGAATCTGTTTGTGATTTGGAAGTGGTGAGTCTCTATTGAATGGTTACATAGATGCAAACGTGGCTGGTGATGTAGATTCCAAGAAGTCTACTTCTGGTTATATAATGACTTTTCTAAGGGGAGCAGTGTCATAGCAATCTAAATTGTAGAAATGTGTTGCTCTATCTTCTATAGAGGCAAAATATATTGCTATAACAAAAGCTTACCAAGGAGCTCTTGTTGATGTAAAAATTCCTAAAGAGTTGGGACTTTCACAAGAATTCATGTTTTGTACTGTGATAGTCAAAGTGCAATCCATCTTAGCAAGAACTCAATTTTTCATTCAAGGTCGAAGCATATTGAGGTTTGATATTATTGGATACATGATGTATTGGAGATGAAGCAATTATCATTGGAGAAAATTCATATTGAAGAAAATGGCTCAAATATGATGACAAAGACCTTACCTACAAGAAAGTTTGTTGTTTGTAAAGAGAAGGCGAGTTTGGTTGACTATGGCACCAATTAATTGGTAAGGGGGAGATTTTTCAAGTGGGTCACCAATTTATTTGGACACATGTTGATTTAAAAATAAAAATAAAAAGTCCAATATGCTAATTGTATTAGCATCAGTTGTAATGAGTCTTGGCATGTAAGATAAACCTTTTAGAAGAAGGAGAAATTAGAGAGTCATGTGTTTGCGTGTATTGTGCCTCTTTGTGAAACAGAGAGAAAAAGAAAAATTATGAGAGAAGGAGTGGAGCAACCAACTTTGGAGAAGAAGTGTTTGTGTGTTTGGTGTATTGTGCCTCTCTGTGAAATAGAGGGAAGAAGAAAAATTCTATGAGAAGGAGTGGAGCAACCAACTTTGAAGAAGAAGTGTTTGGTACCAATTTCTATATATTTTGATTCTCTCTATTGTTCGGTTAAAATACCCATTTGAGAGTTTTCTTGTATTGTTATCCACCATATTGGTGATGATCTATTTCTAGTGATCTCTAGTGATTCCAGGAGGACTTGTGGTGTACTCATTGAGTATTATTAGTGGAGTTTTTACTATACTAGATCTCATGGGTTTTTAGCTCACATTAAGGGTTTTCCAACGTTAAAAATTTGGTACATCCTACTAAAATTATCTTATTACTTCCAGAACCTATTATTATTAATATAGGAAAAAAAGAGATTCAGTTTTGCTTCCGCTTAATTGTTATTATTTTGTTATCTTTTCCAACATGAATAAACTACATAAGTAAATTTGACATCACATTATAATCCAAAATTTTAAAATATTAAGTTGACAGATCTTTCTCACTTATATACTGCTTAATATATTTAATTTTATTTAATCTGAGATTTTCACTCACACTTAAACTCCGAAATATAATTGCCTTATTTGAATAAGATTATCTTGGGTTAAATATGCCTATAATGTGGTTAATGCATTTTTTTTTTGAAAAATTGTGATCATGAAATGAGCTACATACATAAATAGATAATTCAAAACTTAACAATGAAAACAATTATTTAGTAAAACACTAGCGAAGAATTATATCGCAATCAAAATATAAAATAAATTTTAAACATATGCATGTTTGTTTCATGGTTGAAAACAATTAAGCAACTAATGGTTAAAGTTTTATTGGAAAAAAATATATTATTAACGTAATTTTTCTGCATAAATTAATTAGAAAGAAATCCATCATAAGATATTTACTTTTTGGACATTGTATAACAAAATGTTTCACGTTTGATTGTGTTCTTCTAACAAAATATGTAATGTAATTTAACTTTCGTGAAAAATGTCATTAAATATATAATACAACTTAAAAGAAGTTTATTTATGAAATTACAACAGTTTATTCTTATCCTATAAAATCATTTGTTATAAAAATAAATAATGTCATAGCAATAAGGTAAAGTTAAGTAAATTTTATTCTTATCCTATATAAAGATTTTCAAGTCGAAGCTTGAATTTGACTCTTGAGTAATGATAAAACATACTAGCGATACTCTATTATTCTTTCTAAAAGTCTTAGTTAAAATTTATTGAAAATCACAAACTTTATAAATCTCGATCTTATTTTATGAGTCTTTCTTTTAGACCCACCAAAATTTATAATTTTCAATGAACTTTAACTGATAGAGATTTTCAATGAACTTTAACTGATAGAGATTTTCAATGAACTTTAACCAATAGAGCAAAAAGTTATAAATAGAGTTAGAGATAGAGCTGTCAAAGTGGGCCGGGACCCATGGGCCAACCCGGCCCACCTTGAAAATGGGCCAGGCCGGACCCAAAAAAATTAAAGCTTTATAGTAGGTGGGTATATCTCAACCCGACCCACTTTGACCCGGCCCATCCGGGCTAAACCTGTGGTGGGCCGGGTGGCCCACCAATCCACCATTTATTTTTTTTTTTTGCAATAAAAATTTAAGTATGATTTGTAGTTAATTTTGTATGATGGTATATTAAAAATTTTTATTTTAGACTTTTATCATGATTTGTATTTAATTTTGTATGATGAATTATGACTTATGACTATTAATGATGTTAATTTTATGACTATTATGTTAATTTATAATTAATTTAAAATTTTGAATTTTGTTGATAATTTTTTTTTTATTTTTGGTGGGCTGGTGGGCTGGCCCGTATAACCCACCAACCCGTGGTGGGTCGGGCCGGGCCAAATATTTTTTGAGAAAATCACAAGTGGACCGGGTTGGGTTGGCTCGTTTTTAAAGTGGGTCAAGGTGGGCCGGCCCACGTGGGCCGGGTTGGCCCGTTTTGACAATTCTAGTTAGAGAGAATGTTGCTAACATTTTTTTAAGGTAAAATAAGTGGATTTTAATTACTATTGAAAAAAAAATTCAACAATTATTATTTCAATACATGCATGATTTATATACATGGAAACATAATATTCACTATTAATTTTCTCATCAACAATCAAGGTTACTTATTTTATCCTCTAAAATGAGTTTTCACTTTAGGAGAGCCATATCTCAAGTATGTTATATGCAGGGACGAATCTAGGTTATGTATAGTGGGGGCACTTGCCCCCACTACCATTTGATACACACATATTTGTTATTTAAAAAATAATATTTTAAAAAATTAAAATTATATTTTAATAAAATAAATATATATGTTTAAATTATAGGTTGTATAAAATATAAATTTTGAGGAGATATTCATTTATTTGATGTCTGTCAAACTTTTGAAAAAGATTAATTCTCTTATGTAATAAAGAATATTCTTCAATAACTAATAATTTTTTTTAAAAGTTTAATTATAATATATATATATATATTAATATTCACATATATAATGTAATATGTTAAAAAAAAATTAATTTTTGATAAAATAAAATTTGTAGCATGTATGTTTACCTATTGTGTTTTCTATTTATTATATATGGCGATTAAAAAAATCAAAATAGTAAGATTATATATGTTGATTAAAAAAATCAAAATAGGAAAGATCGAAAGATTTATGATCTATTTAGAATTTTTATTATAAATTATATTTTAAAATAAATTATCATCTAAAAATATATATTAGATATTAAAAACATGTTTATATTATAAATAAATTAAACTTGATTTTTATAAAATTTAACATTTATTTTTATATTTTTATTAGTGTTAAATTATTTTAAAGTAGGTCTTTAGGATTATAATTCTAATCAAATATTTGAAAAAATGTTTATGACAGATAAATTATAATATAATCTAGTCGGATCTAATTATTTTTATTTTTAATTATAATCGTAGATATAAAACCTTGTAAAAAATAATTATGATATATTTATATTTTTAAATATTATATGTAAAATTTTTAATACTACAAATATACGAATAAATATTGTCTCAACTATCTAAAATTTCTGGATCCATCAGTGACTATAAATATACGAATAAATATTGTCCTCACTATCTAAAATTTCTGGATATGTGGTTATATGGTAAAAAAAATGAAATGAAATGAAATCAATCATCACTATAAACTATATAATAATAATTAAGTACAAGTGTGTGTAATTGTGGTAGGTTAGTCCAATCCATAAGTCCAAGTGAAATTACATACCATACCTATTAACAGCACTGTAAGAAAAGGTTTAGAATCCACTAAGAGCCACACGGCCATAAGAATACAACCAACTCAATACATAACCGTATGAAACAAACTGAACAAGATGACTATGATGAGGAAGCAGCACCTGCTGGGTTGTTGCTTTCTTTACGTAGGCTGTATTCTCTGTTATAAGCAGCCTTAGCACCCTGATAAACAAAATGAAGCATTTCTTAACTATGTCTAATATATAAACAAAATGTAACAGATGATTATTGAAATCATTGTTAAATTCATGCTAACGTGCAATGACATATGTGACAAAGTTATGCACAGTTCAACTAGTTATTGGTGCACCAACATCAGAAATCAAGCACTAACTTGAAATATAGTTCCCAACTTTTTCAGTGCTTTGGCCCGAGACCTCAGAACATCTTTGGAGGCACTAGGATCTTTAAGAACCTGAAAAAAATAAAAAACATTTTCTTAAAACTTGTGATTAATTGATATTTCAAAGTAAATGATATACTTATTCAACGAATTATTGCATACATTTCAGATCAATATTTCAGTAAATACCTGTGAAGTGATCATGGTCCACCTATAGCTTTCCGAGGTAAAAGATTATATTCTTAGCTCTTTATTATGTGATCAAGTTACTCACTATTAATTTTTTACAGTAAGTGTTTCCAACACTTTTACTCTGCATAAAACTCTCAAATCCTTATTTTATACTCAAATAATTAGATGTTTGAGATGGATTAGAGATAGAAAATAAATTAAAAGGTTTAGAAGTTAAACATTGGCTTAAATACATTTTTAGTTCCTCAAATATAAGTTAAGCTTATTTTTTGTCCCTAAAATTTAAAATTGATCTTTTTAATGTTGTAATTTTAAGAAATGTTGTTGTAGTACATCAAGGCCACTGGTAACACAACTGACAGTGACAGATTGAGAAATTTATATAATATCATTTGAGTTTAATGTGATGTTTTCACTAATAAATGCACTAGTAGGTAAGTAGGGGGAAAGACTATTATTATCAAACTACATAAAGTAAATACTGCAACTTACTGCTTGGCAAACACGTGAAAGAGTTGATTCAATATCAATCACATTGATCTGCCATAGAGAATTAATCATGGCATCCTTCTTTTCTTCAATAGCTTTCACTATGCTTTCTTCTTTGTTTTCTCCTTGGTTTAGCTTCTTTAGCTCTTCTTGTATTTGAATTAGGGACACAGCTCCTACATAAACAGACAGTTTCCATTATAACATTGCAAATTTGAGAAATGTCAATATCCTTTCCTTTCAACAGACAGACAACACAAATATAATAATAATTAGTCTACAACCTGAGGCTGCTGTTACTTGTGATTTAATACGGTGTCCTTTGTCTCGCACCCACTCAGCCAAAAAGGGAACGTTCATATATCTCATATCCTTTCCAAGTTCTCTTGAAGCTTTTCGTGTGTAGATATAACCAATTGTATGTAGCATGGCCTCTCCAAAAGCTGAAAATAATGTCAGAAACAAGTTAGCAACCCAGGAGAAGAAAAGATTCAGTTGTGAACATACTGTTCCTACATGAATTTTACAATACCCTTGTCATCCTTTTCACGTGCAGCATGCTGATAGAGGAAGTAATAATATGTGATGAAATTCATGCGTCTTTTCATGGTGAAGACGCTCTATAATATATAAAAACGGATCCTCACATTTTGAATTTTCAAGTGTCACGTGAAAAATGTTTCAGCACGGTTGTTAGAACCTAAATTCCTCTTCTAACTCTTACTCATATTTTACTCAAGGTAGTTGATAAGCACTTGGAGAACCCCTCCCTTAAAAGCTGAATGTTAAGGAGGGAGCACCAAGCATTTAAATACTCCACGGAGCATCCCATACCACTCGATGAGGAACTTAGGCACCCCATAATACCCAAGTCCCTGGCATAGTACTGCTCCAGAGAGTTGACATCTTGGCGGATGACACTCTATGATGCTTCACTCAACCTTTCTATTAGTCCCTCCGTAGGTAGCTCTTTCCAAGATACTAGCAACCAACTTTGATACCAATTGATAAGCACCCAAGAACAAGGAGAACCCTCCCTTGAAAGCTAGTTACTTTCGGGCGAGAACAAAGCAGTTAAATACTCCATTGAGCATCCCATACTAATCGAAGTAGGAATTAAGCACCGCATAATACCCAAGTCCCTATCAATATTATATTTGTATGAGGCCATACCTTTTCTTTGAGAGAAAAATTTAGTTGTCTAAAACTTTAATAAGGGTACTTGTTACTTCATGAAAAATGATAATGGTATGTCGGGAGAAGAAAATAAAATCTCACTCCGTGGAACATATGGAATTATAACCCCACAACTTTGGAATGATATATTCTAAGGTAAGAGTAATACTCCAACACTCAAGATTCAATCTAGATTTTAAACTAACTTCAAAGCTGATCCAATGACATGCAAGGCAATGCTGCCCTCAAATTACAGTTTTTAGTGGATTGAGTTTAGTCCTCTAAGAGTACATAAGAATCTTACCTCAATGGAATTTCACAATCCATTTAGGATTCTATAGAATGAGACATAGATTAATATGTCTTTTCTTATTAACAGGCATAGGACCACTCATTTGATGGTATTAAGCATGTAATAGAATCATCATTCAAAAAATGTTGTACTTAAGCTCAAGCAGAAATGTGGTACAACAACTAGTACAAACTGAGCAGAGCACAACCTAACAATATTCCTAACATAGCAAGAATCTAATAATCCAGGTATAGAAAGCCAGAACTATAACAGACTCAGAATTTGGTAGTATGATATGCTTACAAATTAGACATTATTTGGACATTTTCCCTAGGTGGGAAATAATGTAATTTAAATAGCATATTAAAGCATTCTGCAAGATCCTAAACTACACCATAATGAATGTGTCTTTCTTTGAATAATTTCATTTATATTTCAAAACTGAAGAAACAATATTTGTTTTGCACCTCAAAACAATTTTCTGTCAAACAAAACTGAAAGCATCCATTTACATCAACAAACCAGGATAATTTATTTCAAGCCCTTATATATTAAAACCTCAAATAGTGCTAAAAGATCTCAATAGATGGCCAACTCTAATGAATGCTGGCATAGACAGTAAATTGAATATCTGGATCATAAAAAAATTCAGTTATCGAAACTTCTATGTTCTAGACTATCTTTAAATAGTTACATTATCAAAATTACATGATAAGCAGACAAAATTTACCAGCATTAGAAAGGTTACGTGCTTCTGACTTTGCCCATCCTGTAAATTCATCTTCTCGACCAATAACAAATGGATGCAGGCGATCTTTCAGAATTGTTGAAAGCTTCAGTTCCCTTTCCTTCTGCCATGCCTACGGATACAAACCAAGGAAACAGCTTCAGTTACCAAAATATGAGGCGGGAAAATACAAAGGATGTGGAAAATCGGTCACAAAGGACTAGAAAAATATAATACTTTCATCTTTTCTTGAATTTTCTGCCTCTGAACTTCAGGATCTTGTGAGTCTTCCTCAATTTCTATAGATGCTAAAGAAGCCAGTGCAAGTTTTCCAATATACTCTTCAAAAAGCTCACTTCCAAAAAGCATTCCAAACACAGTTGTAGGGTCCATCATGGAATCTCTGAAATTAAAAAATAAATCAGTGTATTTTGCAGGTTTTCTCAATTCATGAAAACATTCTGTTAAATTAGATTCATCTTGAAACATCTAAATTCTGAAATAATGATTTTAGCTGATTCTGCTTATATAAACAGGCCTTAATAGGGCTGATAATTTGCTCTACTAATTTTGGGAATTATTATGTTATATAATAATTTTAGGAGTTTATTTTTCATGTTTAGTATTCTTGTAAATTGGCTAGGATTGTTTGCCTTTCCTATTGGATAATATAGAATCAAACAGGATTTTATGGTACCAGATTACAATCTTGAAATCATGGACTTTCTACAAAACTAGTGCAATAAGAAATAGAAAAGTTCATTATCTCATCCTTCAAATAAAAGGATTTTTAGCAGAAGCTAGTAGGATTCTATGTGTATTAGGCCTCCACTATAATTTTGATAGCTCAACATAGTGGAAAATATTCACAGGACTGGCACACTTAGGTCAAATTATAGTTTTTCTATAAGCAACGGCTCTGCAACACTAATTCTTGTTTGATTTTATTAATTTTAAGAGGAATTGGTTCGATTATTTTCAAAAGATTTCTCAATAAAATTATAATTATAAGCTTACTTTTAACACAAAATAAGAAAACCCAAATACACAATAAATATTTACACAAGGAGTTTCACTAAGATAGTTTGGTTAAGCTTGATTTCTAACTTGCAACAAAGAGAAACAAAACCTATGGGCCAATTGGCAAGTACTACTTGTACTATAACAAACTCCATGTTAGACACCTTTCTATGCTTGATCATGCGGGGAATGAGATATCAAAGGGACAAAAAGGGTATGTCTGTGAATGCTGGAGGGTGAAATTCTGTTAGGTTGAGTATAAGAGTGTGAGAGGGGAGATAAAAAAGGGGACAATATTATGCCTTGTTTGGTTAAGGAGAAACGAGTAAGAAGTATGGTGGAGAGAGTGGAAATAAGTGAGGTTTGATTGAGGAGAAATAAAAGGGTGGGAAATTAAAAGGTAGTGGACCCCAGCCTCTTATTTATATATATTTATTTATTTCTCTCTCCTCTCTTATATATATATATATCTTATTTCTCACATATTTATTACCTATTTCTCTTCAACCAAACAACCAAATTTCTACTTTATTTCTTATTTATTTATACTCACTTTTTATTTCTCTCCACTCTATTTCTCACCTATTTCTTTCCTCTCTACCAAACACACACTAAGTGCCTGTTGCGTCTCTATCTTTTTACTCTTGTTATTTCTTTTACTTCATTTTACAGTAGCTGTAAACCCATTTTCTGGACTTGAATCACACCAATTTGATCAGATTAATGAACATATACAGAGTATATCAGTGATTAACGAAATTTACTGACAAAAAACAGAAAAGTCAACACAAGAGATTAAACAACTGAATCAGAAATTGCTTTCTGATAACAACCTACAAGAGTTATCTTTGAAATTTGAATTTCAAAGAAAGCACTTTACTATTTGATAGAGCCTTTATTTCTTGCAAGCAATTACTATAGCTAATTACTGTTCAGCATGTAAGATCATAAAACTTACTGTGGTACTCCCTCCTTTCCTTGCTTATCATATGCTTCACGCTTCCCAGGATCACTTAAAACCTGGTAAGCCTCACCAAGTTTCTGGTAAAGATACCAGACTTAGACATGTATATTGAAGAAACAAAAGCAAACTAAATGGGGAGAGATCCAAATGTATAAATAATCCTATCCTATTTAACTGTGGCAAAACATCTGACAGTAAGAACTAAAAAGGACATATATAATGTTATTAATGAAATCTAGTAATATTGCTTAGTCTTATGAAGCTAACAAAACTCAGCTTCTTAGTGCTTACCTGAAAATTTTCTGCAGCCTTAGGATCCCCATGATTTTTATCAGGGTGAACTATTCTTGCCTGCAAAGGGAAGAGAGAGAGAGAGAGAGAGAGAGAGAGTGAGAGAGAGATTAATAGTCATTGAAGTGACACAACAGAGGAACTATCAAGTTTAAAGTTCAGTCATGAAAAATAGAAGTAAAATACCAGCATGAATTTAGTCTTCTAAATAACCAATCTAAAAGAACAAGAGAGACACTATTTCTTTCACTCTCTCCTACAATTTCTGTGTCACTATCACTAATTAAGTACTGTTACCAAAGCATCTCTTTTGTCACTTTTTCCGTTGAAGTGCATTGGAATTCATGCTACCAAGGAAAAGTAAAAATATCCCAAGTGTTGTCTGGTGGGAACATTTTCAGGCAGAACAAGATCACTAGGCAACTTCAGGAGAACACTCTTTGGGGCTTATTAAACTCCAAATTTCACAAACAATTCAAAAATAAAAAAGTATTAAAATAACCAAAGCATAAGAGTTGTTAAATTGTATAGCATCGGTCTCAGAATAGATAAAAACTTGAATAACAAAGAAACTGAAGCCTAAATTTCTAATTCATGCAACTACCTAATTATTTCTAAAGCAAAAATACAGTGATAAGCAAATTCAACATTGCACCAGATCGGGAAATAATATAATAACATCCTCAAATCTCAGTTTCAGGTTGCACAACACAAATCAGAAAAGTGAAGGGCATTCATTTCATTATTTATTACCTTGACATAATAAGCCTTCTTGATCTCTGCAGCAGATGCATCAACATTGACATCTAACATGTCATAGTAGGCAGTGTCCTTCACCATAGCTTGTGACAATCGAATAACAATTCACACCTTCAAATTAAGCAAATTGAATAAATGCCAAAAGGGGGAAAAAAATTAAAAATTAAAATAAATAGTTAGCAGCATGGCATCAATAGAAAACACTAGAACAATAAGAAAGTTAAAATGCTCGTGAAAGAATTTGCTAACACAAATTTTGGAACCAACCCAGAAAAAAAAAGTGGAATAAGTTTCGAACTTGAAAAAAAAAATGGAATAAGTTTCGAACTTGAGATATAGAGAGTTAACAATTGGAAGGAACCTCGGATTTCAAGTGGATCCGTGTGGCAGAGGAAACGGTGTCGTTTTAAAGGGGCCACGTAGCGCATGATATTTTTTTTAAGGATGTGAGTCGTGTTTTAATAGCTGTGGCAGAGCGCACATGTTTGGATTCTTTCTATGCAGGATCAAGAGTTATTATTTTCGTGCATGTATTTATGTACTTTAGCACGCAAAATAATAAATGTTTATTTTACGTAATTATGATTTATAATAAATAAGTATTTGTAAATATTTAAAATAAAATTTAATTAATAATTTTAAAAAATAAATATTTTATACATATAAATTATATTTTAAATTTATATTATTATTATTATTATTATTATTATATAAGGTTATTGTTAATTTAAAGGATGAATTAGTACTCTTTTCTTTTATTCATGTTTTGATTGTGCTGTAACAATGTTTTGAACTTTATGGGAAATTATTTTTGGTTAAACAATGTATATTTTTTCACATGTAAAGTTTGTAGGTATTGTCTATAATAAATGAAATACTACAAATTGTATTTAGTATGTCTTGAATGGATTGCTACTTGTATATGTTTGTTCTCTTTCAGATATAACAGAATGAAATTGACCTTGGGATCATCAAAACTAAATGAAGGATTGATCTACATCATCTATTGGAAGCTTCTTTCACATATAAGAACATTGTACTATCATATAAGATATGACATGATAATAAGGTGCATTTAAGGTAAACCATCAAGTTCTTTAACAAAATTATTCAAACGTTCTTCTCTAGAGAAAGATAAAAAACAAGGAAAAAAAAAAGCTCCAATAGTTATCACCTCTCAAGAATTATAAATAACAAAAAACCTTTAATGATAAAGTTATTTAAGAGTTATGTAGCATAAAAAAATCACCACAAACTCCATGTTTTCAATCTATTCTCATTCTATAATATATGTCTTTTAAAAAGACAATAATTTACTTTGTTTTTGTATCGTCATAATTTAACTCTGCTTCCTTCTTCTATCTTTAAGTTTTTGTTTGAAGAAAAAGCTTAGGACATTGTACATTCCCTTTCTACTGTCACTTTTTCCCTATATTTTGGTATCAGTCTCTAAAAGGTTGAGCATCTTAATAAGTCACAAAGGAAAAGATCTTACCATGGCTAGTTTAGATAGACAATTCCTTCCTAAAGGTGTATCTTTTACTTAAAAGACAAATAAACCATAAAAGAGGTAAGTAGTTGAATGTGTGTGTGAAGATTTTCATAAATTTTTTGCCAGACAGAACATAGTTATAAGTTCATAAGTAATTCTTTTAGAATAGATGTAGATGTAGTAAATAAAGGAAACTTTAATCACTCAACTCAAACTACCTTCATTTACCTTCAAACTAGAAAGGTTCCACCAACATCTGAAACTTATAAGTATTCTTATTGCCACTTATAACTTACACATAAACTATTGTTTATAGTATTTTTTCCACTAGTATCTTTTGTGACACCCTTCTATTCCAAAACATTTTAATCCAAACTAATGATGAAATAAGACAATCTATAAATAATAAACTTGTACTTATAGGTAAAAGGATTCACATCTATATCATACTATCAAAAACTGGGTAATTAAATATTAAAATAAGTTCCAAAATAAAAGTTATTTAGGCATTAAAAATAACTTTTACAAGTTTCAAAGCAAAATTGAAAATATACAATAAAACTATATTCAACATGTACTGAACTTAATTAAACTAAACATGGTAAACTACTCTTCTAAACCTTGATGTCACACTAAGTAAAGTAGTCCCATCAAAACAAAAATCTAAAGCCTAAGCTTTCTCTCTCATAGATTCAAAGTAATTTGCTTGATCTAGACCTGAAATTAGCATTCAGTCCAACAAAGAAAGCACAACACAAACATAAAGGAGTGAAAATACATCTTAAACATGTATAAAGGACATATAAAGAGAACAAATAGTATCTAAAAAGACCCAACACATATTGCACCCCTATCAAAACACAATCACAAGCTCCTCACATAAGACTCATGGACTCGTACGCTATTAATCTCTATATGCATATGCTACCATCCTCATTTTGTACAAAGCACACACATATAAAGTAGTCTAGGAGTACATTGATAAGAAAATGATTTCCATATAATGTGTAACCAATATACAGTCCATTTTCACTAGAACAAAATCTATTTGGAGCTAATTAGGGTACTACAATTGGCCATGGTTGTCTCCCATCCCACTCATAAACCAGAGGATCCGCACTATAACACCCCAGGTCCAAAGTAGAAGATCATATAGACCCTCTCATATAGATTCATAATCTACCTCCAAACAAACTATGTATGAATGCATAACTTCAAGCACATCATACAACAACTCAAGAATACATAACATGTATATCATGCTGCTAGACCAATCCTAAAATTACACCTGGCCAGAACACTATGTTTAGATCTAGACATAGTGGTCTAGCTGGGTGAAATTCTAAACTCACAAATGACCAAGCATAACTTAAATTTCATGTAACGATTCAGTAGATCACTACACTTAGTACAATAAAGATACTAGGCAATGAAAAACATAAATAATCTACTAATCTATGTTTATCGATCATGCAATAGTACTTGTGTGGAGAGAAGAAAGACATTAGAAGGGGGAGTTGAATAGTGTCAATAAAAAATTCAACACTTTTCAAAATAGCAAAATAGTAACAAAACTTTAAGAGTGCAAATAAAGAGTCAAGAGGAAAGAACATATAGTATTTTTCCACTAGTTTGTCTCATCCACTAAGACTATGTCCAATTTTTAATCAAGCCTATCAAGCTCCATTATCTTTGCAAAGATACGAGTATTCTTTCACAAGTCACTTTTGGATTAACCTAACTATTATTAGACTTGCCTTTCAAGAAATTACCCAAGTATTTTTTGAACAACAAAACCTCTCTAGGCTTCAAAATAACCAAGTATTCTTTACGACAAAGCTTCTTCAGACTTCAAACTATAGCATAATGCTTAACCACTAAGGAACATAACTATGGTGGTTCTCTCCCCCTCCCTTATACGCACCTTTATGATGTATAACTCTATTTTTTATTTATCCATAAGCTCCCTTCTATAATAAGAGGGTATATGCCTCATTCTTATGACACTCTTAAGGTCGTTCCAATATCTCACACTAGGCTTATTATAGAGTTTTCTCTATCATTTTAGGAAGGTCCACCGATATATAGCATACCCTTGGAAGCTAAGGATTTCTAGTCAAACTTTTCTCTCTTTATTCACTTAATTGTAAACAAAGAGTTGTCCTACTTTCATTTCTAATGGCAAAACTAGGTGAAGTGAATGATGTACTTCCCTTAGCTTTGCTCCAACGTCTTGATCTTTTCCTTGAGGTGATTCTAGACACTCAAGATCCAGATGATGAAGATGAAATGTGGAAGTGAAGGTGAAGGAAACACTAAGGCCAAAGGAGCAAAGGATTGCTCACAAGATGCCTAACCTAGAAGCCTTCTAGGTTCCCTAAGAACTAGGCGTGAAGGGGACTTTTGAGAGAGAATTTTACTGAAGCAAAATGGTCAAATTTCTCATGTATTCAAAAGTGAATGAAATGAAAGAGAATGACTTGATTTATAGGTAAAAAAGCTAGCACAATTGGCGCAATTCCATGCGTTGCTTTGGCGTCAGAAATTTGAATTCAAATGGGATTTGAATTCAAATTTCAAGGTCACTCCAGTACTAAGTGTAGACACCTAATTTCATTCAGACCCGTAAATAAAGAAATGAACTTCTAGTATGAAGAAAAGGAGTACTAGAAAGCCCAAGAACGACCTTTTAACTGAAATGATGCAACATCGGAAGGCCCAAAGCCTAATAAAGGCAAGTTAGGAGTCTAGAACGGACTATTCCCAATCTGAAACGGATCATCCAAACTCCTAAAAGGTCCTAGAAATCCTAGGTCAAAACATGTTGTTCCCTAACCTGGAACAGACCGTTTCGACATAGGTTAATAAGGGTAAAGTTCAAATTTAGAACGGACCATTTCGATTCTAGAACGGGCCGTTCCAGCTTCAAATTTTATCTTGAACAAACTAATTCAGAATGGGCCATTTTGAAATTGGAACGGGCCACTTTGGTCAGGTCTGACGTCTATAAACAGGAGAGTCAAACACTACTCAAAAAAGAAAGGAGGAGGATTGCCTTCGAAAGGTCTGTAGAACTTGAAAATTCTCTCTCTCTCTCCCCCCTCTTATTGTTTTTCTTTAGAGTTGTGAGGCACATTGTAGTGTGTAAGGTAGGCAAAAGGCACCTAAATATCTCCATATTTGAAGATTCAAATAAAGCTCGCTTAAGAGGTATTTCAGTCAATATTCTTCTCTCTTACTTCCTTTATTTTAATAAATGTTGTTTTAAATAAAAATAATCATGTAGACGTCTTAGGGTAAATCGTGTAACTTAAGTTTCAAGCATGTAAATAATCATCAATAAAAGGGGATCCAATATTTAAACTATTAATTCTTATTGCGTTAGTTTCATCATAGGGTACCGATTTAGGGCGTTGTGGGGGTGTCTAATACCTTCCCATGTAATTAATTAACAAAAGGGGTAAACCTTTAAATTATTGTTCCTCATTATGCTAAAATTGTCATAGGGTACCTAATTATGGTGTCATAGGGTGCCTAATACTTTTCCTACACGTAACCGACCTCGAACCCAATTTTGGTTATTGAGGCCATTATTAGATTTTCAAAAATCTTTTCTTTTTTCAATGTTTTGAGTGAAACATTGGTGGCGACTCTATGAACTTATTTTTCAAAATCATTATTTAAGGATTAGTCTAGTGTCCAGGCATTCCTTAATCAATGAGAATTTTTGGAAAAGTAGTCTAAACCATTGGTCGTAAGAACGGAATTTTTCGGGTTACGACACTAAGTCATCTGCTTGGTTCCATTATGCACCAAAGTTACATTTAGATGTAATTTGGACTTGATTTGAGACGTCTCATGTGTAGCCACCCATGGCTTAACACATGTGAACCAAATGCAACTCAATTTTCTTCTAAATGTAATTTTAATTTAGCAATTTTTTCCTAATTAAGTTTTCTCTCTATTTTCCTATTCTATTGGCCTAAATACAATGG